CTGGATAATATTGATATTGGTGGTAAACTAAACTATATATTATAATAATGTTTTAACCATCAGCCTAAATGAACTATACTTAATATTGGAATAGATGTCTTAAATTTAGTAAGTTTATATTCGGGATGAAGTACTAAAGAAAGTATAAGAAGAGGTTGTTCCCATTCATTCCAACGCTTATTAATTCTTCGTACCATATTATCTGAAAATTCAAGATCATAATGATCTTCAAATAATTTAATAGTATAAGCAAAACAAAAAATAACTTCATAAAGCCATGCTGTATCTTTTTGAAGTTTATTTAAAAAGCTACATAAAGGATATAAAATTTTTTGAACTTCAAATAAAGTTGACCAAAAATCACTACTATTAATTGAGTTAGCAATATTATCAGGAAGTTTGTGAGCTCCATTTTCACCTTTAGAACTTCGATTAGATTCAACTACTTTATTGTTTGTATAAATCATATTTAATTTTAGTGGATTAAATTTAGCAGACAAACACTACAATATATAAAATATATAATTAGATAAATATACGTATTTAAATTTATTACTATAAATTAATATATAAAATTAAATTACCTTTAATGCAGCTTGTGATTCTAATAATTCATGAAAACAAAAATAATAACTATTCCAACACGTATATCCTGGTATTGTTAATGCTATAATTTTATTATATATGCGTATTTGTTCATTTTTTAAATTTTCTGTAAAATAAGATGATCCATAAAAATATGAAACTATACGAATTGCTTTTGTGCAAACTATTTTATAGTTTAAATTTTCTTTAAAAACGTCTCCAACTACAAGATTCATCTGATGCGTCATACATGGTAAAAAAATTTTATCTAAATATTGATATCTCATTTGGCGTCTAAAAATTATTATTATTAATAAATTATTAATATTATATATATATAATTTATCATTATATTATAAATTATAATTACCTAGCAGCAGCATATTCACCTGCTGAATCTGATATGAATGCTTTAATCTTAATATTTTTATTAGCAGTATTATTTATTAAAAACTCAATATGATGAATAACATCTTCAGTTTTTGATCTTTCTGAACTAATATCATATGCACCCCAAACTAATGGTCATCCTTCTGATGTTACTAATACAACTCCCCATATATTTTCTTGCTTAACATTTGTCCAACTATCAAATGTTGCTATTACACCATCTGAATCTTTTTGTGCTAATTTAATAATATTATTATGCAATATTGTTGTAATATTTAATAACACTTGTTCTCCTATAGTTTTTCGTGATGGTAATGTAATTCCAGGGCATACAAATTCAAAAACTGCTCGAGTATCCTCATTTTCAATATATGCAAAAGAAAGTCCATTGGATATAATCATTCGAAGTAATAAATGTTCAAATTGTGCTTTATCTTTATGTGATATAGGGCGACCATTATAATAGCTTGTAATTGATTGTTGATATTTTGTAGATAACTTAGTTTTAATAGAGATGGAATTTTTTTGGCGCTTGGTTGAACTTGAAGATTTACTAATTGTTTCTTCTTCATCTTCAGATAAAGATTCTATTAAATTAAATATATTAAATAAAAAAATATATATTTAAATTATTAAATAATAAATAATAAATTAATAAATACCATCATTTTTATGAAAATCTTCTGGAACTGATTGTGAAAGAATTTCTGTTACTTCTTCATTCATATATTTGGTTTTAAAAGCTTCACAGTTTGCAAGATGAGCACGACATAATTTTGCTTTATTGGTTATAAAACATACTTGTATAACTTGTGCAATTGCTAACTCACCAACTTGATCAATACAACATTTACATACAGCTTTTGCATTTGATTTATTTGTTAAACTTTTTTCTAAAACAAAAAACTCACGAAAATTATGCGATTATTTTTTTTTTTGTAATGATTTTATTAAATCTTTTTCATTCATTATTATGATAAGACCAATAAGAACGCAAAAATATTATAAATTTTTAATCCATCAAACTAATCAAAATGATTCGCTTTATATAAAGAAATACTATAAAAATCAAAGTATATTGGTATTAATTGAAACTAATTATATAAGCTTTTTTTTAGCCTTCAAAGCCATTACAATACTATTGTTAACCTAATTAAATTGCACAAGATGAATCGATAATAATTATTGCCACTATATATAAGGTTAGCCTTCATTATTTTATTATTAGAAAAGCCTCCCACAGAGACTAAATGTTATAGAAATATACTGGCTATTCATTACGCCAATACTTATTATTTAAGCTGTTTATTGAATGTTCTATATTTCTATGGTTAGGCCTTTTATATTAAATTTTATTCAACAGATCTATTTCTTTTTAGAATCTACTTGTGAAAATATATACGCCATTTGTAGTGTTCCTACAAACCCGAACCAAACCAAACTTTAATAAAGTTTGTGTTTGGTTTCCAAACTTTTAGTCAAGGTTTGTATTTGATTTCAAACTTTTAGTTAATATTTGGGTTTAGTTTGGTTTGGGTTTGAAGTTTGCAAACTAGTTTGAGTTTGAATATACTATATATTTCTAAAAATAAGCTACTAACAAAATAAGCTACCTTCTTTTTTTGGAAGAAAAACATAAAAATATTTTATAAGCTACTTAATAATCATCAGTAGTTACTCTATAGTAAAGTCAAAATTGTACTAAGTAAATCGATATAGTTTATTAAATGTAAGTTGTTCAGAAGATCAAAATACACATATTTTGAAAGTTTGATCTAAATTGGATAACTTTTATTAATACGTTTTTGCATATTACTTTCAACAAATTTTTTACAATTTCTTTAAATTTTATATTTGTTGAATGTAATAATCAAAAGTCAATTAATAAAAAGTTAACCAATTTATATGAAACTTTTAGGATATATATAGTTTTATATCCTGAATAACTTTCACTTAATACATATAATCGATTTACTTAATAAAATTTTTCGCAATTAGCAAAATCTCTATTATTTATATTCAAACTCAAACTAGTTTGCAAACTTCAAACCAAACTCAAACCAAACTTATAATGAAGTTTGAA